CTGCTGAAGATCAAAGACTACAGCCTTCAGTATGGATTACACCTCAACAGAAAGAAAATAAAAATCCTCACAACTGGACCAATAAGCAGCATCATGATAAACGGAGAAATCAAGGATTTCATTTTACTTGGATCCACAGTCAACTCCCATGGACGCATCAGTCAAGAAATCAAGCGACACATTGCAATGGGCAAATCGGCTGCAAAAGACCTCTTGAAAGTGTTAAAAAGCAAAAGAGTCACTTTAAGGACTAAGGTGTGCCTCACCCAATTCATGTGTTTTCAATTGCCTCATATGCATACGAAAGCTGGACAATGAGTAAAGAAGACCAAAGAATTGACTTATTTGAATTATGGTGTTGGTGAAGAATAGTGACTCTACCATGGACAGCCAGAAGAATGAACAAATCTGTCTTGGAAGAAGTACTAGAATGCTCCTTAGAAGCAAGGATGATGAGACTACGTCTCACATACTTTGGACATGTTATCAGAAGTGATCAGTCCCTGGAGAAGGACACCATTCTTGGTAAAGTAAAGGATCAGCGAAAAAGAGGAAGACCCTCAATGAGACAGATGACACAGTGGCTGCAGCAGTGAGCTCAAACATAACAATGATTGTGAGGATGACACAGGACCAGGCAGTGTTTCACTCTGCTGTACGTAGGGTCACTATGCGTCAGAACTGACTCGATGGCACCTAACAACAAGAATAATATAAAAATAATATTATCTGGAGCATAGAGAGAGAAAGAATAGATTTAAAAAAAAAATCATGATCTCAAAACCTGAAAATAACCAAAAAGCAAGCAATAGATATATGTATCTTGTGGCTATCTGTGCAAAACGTTTTCAAATATTAGCAAATAAAATACAACAGCACATTAAAATAGGCTTATTCCTCAGTCCAGAGTCCCTGGGTAGTGCAAACAATTAATACCCTTGCTGCTAACTGGAAGGTTGACTGTTCAGATCCTCCCAGAGGCACCTCAGAAGAAAGGCCTGGTGATATATTTCTAGTAAATCTGCCATTGAAAACCCTATGGATCACAGTTCTCTGACACACTTGAGGTCGCCAGGAGTTGTAATCAACTTGACGACAAGTGTATCGTATATATGTATATACACTTTAGTCAAGAAATGGTTTCTCTTAGAAATACAAGGTTGCTTCAATATTAGGAAATTATAAAAATAACACACGATATTGATATTTTAAAATGAGAAAAAACCCTGTCTTAGTCATCTAGTGCTACTGTAACAGAAATACCACAAGTGGATGGCTTCAACAAACAGAAGTTTATTTTCTCACAGTCTAGTAGGCTCCAAATCCAAATTCAGGGCATTAGCTCCAGGGGAAGGCTTTCTGTCTCTATCAGCTCTGGAGGAAGATCCTTGTCATCAATCTTCCCCTGGACTAGGAGCTTCTCAATGCAGGGATCCCGGGTCCAAAGGACACACTCTTCTTCTGGCACTAATTTCTTAGTGGTAGGAGGTCCCCCTGTGTCTCTGCTTGCTTCTCTCTTTTATATCTCAAAAGAGATTGACCAAAACACAATTTAATCTTGTAGATTGAGTTCTGCCTCATTAACATAACTGCCGCTCATCCCACCTCATTAACATCATAGAGGTAGGATTTGCAACACACAGGAAAATCACATCAGGTGACAAAATGGTGGACAATCACACAGTACTGAGAATCATGGCCTAGCCAAGTTGACACACATTTCTGGGAGACACAATTCAATCTATGACACCCTCCTTACCATTTCAGGAGACACCAGAAGAACAGTTGATGAATCACCATCCATTTCTATTTTTAAAATAATAATAATTAAACACTTGTTGAAATCTATGGTGATATTCTTGTTTAAAAATGTTTTTATTAAGTTTGGAGTAGATGTAAAAAAGTATTGACAAAATATGTCAGTAATATAAAGAATAATTGATATGAATTTTCTACTTTAAGGGAAAAAAGTACTTGTGTATGTGTATTTTTTGTGTGTTCTTAAAGTGATATGATTTATGTAGCTCAAACCAAAAGTCAGCATCATGCTTGATGGTAGAACAATGGAACACTAGAAGCATTTTTATTAAACTTAGAAATTAGACAATGATATCCATATCACTGGTTTTATTTAACATTGTTTTGATAGTAGAGGGCAATGAAATTAAATGAGAAAAAACTTAATTATGAATATTAGAAAACAGGAGGTAGAAGAGGGTCCTTATTTGCAGATTATGTGACTATATTTTTAGAAACCCCAAAAGAACAAAACGAAAACCTTTATGAAACAATAAGAAGATTCAGTAAGGTTGCTAATTAAAAATATTAATTTACAAAAATTATTACCATTTATATGCAAACAATTACCAATTGGGAAAAAATACAAGGGAAAAATGACTCCATTTACAATTGTTGTTGTTAGTTGCCTTTGAGGCAATTCTGACTCATGGTAGCCCCATGTGTGCAGAGTAGAACTGTTCCATAAGGTTTTCAAGGCTGCGATCTTTAGGAAGCAGATTGCCAGGCCTATCTTCCTATGCATCTCTGAGTGGGCTTGAACCGGCAACCTTTGGTCTAGTAGTCAAGTGCTTAACTGTTTGTGCCTCCTTGGGGACTCTATTTACTATAAATAACAACAACAACAACAACAAAAACACTGGGCAGAGGGCTGTGGTAACCATGGTGTCGGGGAACATCTAGTTCAATTCTCATAACACAGTTTATAAAGACAATGTTCTACATTCCACCTTGGTGAGTAGCGTCTGGGATCTTAAAAGCCAGTGAGCAGCCATCTAAGATACTCCAGTGGTCTCATCCCTTCGGGAGCAAGGGAGAATGGAGAGAACAGGATACAAGGAAAAGATTAGTCCAAAGGACTAACAGACCACAGCTACCAAGGCCTCCACCAGACTGAGTCCAGTCCCGGCTACCACCACTGACTGCTCTGACGGGGATCACAACAGAGGGTTCTGGACAGAGCTGGAGAAGGATGTAGAACAAAATTTTAACTCACAAAAAAAAGACCAGATTTACTGGCCTAAAGGAGACTGGAGAAACCCCGAGAGTATAGCCTTCAGACACCCTTTTAGCTCAGTGAAGTCAGTTCCGAGGTTCACCTTTCAGTCGGGGAGTGGACAGCCCCATAAAACAAAACGGGACTAATGAGGCACAGCAGTCCATGGACAAGGACTAGAAGGCAGAAGGGGACAAGAAAGCTGGTTATAGGGAACCCAAGGTTGAGTAAGGACAGTGTTGACATGTAGTGGGGTTGTTAACCATTGTCATAGGGCAACATGTGTACTAGCTGTTTAATGAGAAACTATTTTGTTCTGTAAACCTTCATCTAAAGTGAGAGAATAGCAGCACAATTGGAAGAGTGTAGTCGATGTCACTGAACTGTGCATGTAGAAATTTTTGAAATGGTGTATCTTTGGCTGTGTATATTTTCACCAAAAAAAAAAAAGGTCGAGAAAGGAGAGGGTTGACATGTCGTGAGTTGTTAACCAATGTCATAAAACAATATGTGTACTACTTTTAATGAGAAACTATTTGTTCTGTAAACCTTCATCTGAAGTACAATAAAAAAATAAAAATAAAAATAAAACCAAACTCATTGCTGTTGAGTCGATTCCGACTCATAGTGACCCTAGAGACAGAGTAGAACTGTCCCATAGGGTTTCCAAGGAGCAGCTGGTGGATTAGAACTTCCGACCTTTTGGTTAGCAGCCAAGCTCTTAACTACGGCTCCCTATTTACAATTAAAAAAAAAAAAAACTGTTGGCATTTAGTCGATTCCGACTCGTAGTACGCTATAGAAACGAAAAAATAAGAAATACATAATATCTAAAAGAGAAAGTTTGTTAATTTTTAGGAAAAATATTAAGTTATAGATTAAAGCGCTTTTGGAAAAGATTTGATTTTTAAGATGCATTAATTTGCCTCTTCTGTGCTGATGTGTTACAAGAATGACTTCTGCACATGTATGAGCTGATAGCTGATAACTACAAATTAACTTATTTCATTTTCTGGGCTACCTGTGAGTTCAGAAAGAAACTGAGGCTCAAATTTTTAAGTCATTTGCTCAAGATTTCACATAATTATAATGTGTTCTTTTCTTACCTCTCCTACTAATAAGTGTGTTCCTTGGAGGCAAGGAATGTGTCTTTTTTGCATTGCAATCTCTAGCAACAACGTAGTACAGGCACTTGGATCAAACCCCAAACTTTTTCTGTCTCCCTTCTACAGTAAAGCGTTGCAGATTCAGTTGCATATAGAAATCCAGGCGGGTGACCGCATTCCTTATCTGATATAGATTACTCTAACTGATCATTTCCTTGTGACCATATAGTTTCAGAGTTGAAAGATTTTAAATTTTTTAAAGAGAATGCGTTGGCAACGAATTTAAAAAAAATACTCTGTCCAGGTCAAATAAGTCTCATCTGCTGGCACAGCTTGGCATGTGGCTTCCCTGTTTTTGACCTTGGACTTTTCCATACTGCTTTACCTAACTCTGAAACACTAAATCCAGGAGGAGAAAATTGAATAGGGTTGTTAGTTTTCCAGAGACCTGGTGGCACACTGATTAAGAGCTTGGCTGCTAACGAAAAGGTCAGCAGTTCAAATCCACCAGCCGCTCCTTGGAAACCCTATAAGGCAGTTCTACTCTGTCCTCTAGGGTCGATGTGAGTTTGAATGGACTCAACAGCAATGGGTTTGGTTTGGTTTTGGTTTGGTTAGTTTTCCAGGTATGAGGCTACTGTAGCCATGTATTCCAGAATGTGACTATGTAGCTGATACCTTGCTTCTCTACTCTGCTACCAGGTCTAAAACTGTTAATCTGTCTGTGCGTGTGTGTGTGTGTGTGTGTGTGTGTCTTAACCTGTTGGGGACTGTTGTTTAAAGCTACTGTAAAGAGTGCCCAAGTTTAATCTCCTTAAACAAATGAATAGATTTCCTGGGTTTCTCCCCTCCTCACATGTCCTTGTTTGTCTTCCATTCAGGTATTTCTGGTCACTGTCTGGAATTTTGAACTGTACATGATCCCCCTGGCATTGTTGCTGCTCTTTATTTACAATTTCATCAGCCCAGTGAAAGGGAAGGTCAGCAGCATACAGGACAGCCAGGTAAGCAAAAATTCCAATTAGTTCAGACATTTACTAGAGGAAAAAATGTGTCAATGGCAGGGAACCAGCACCAGCTGACTCCCGGCCCAAGTCCATTTTGTTGGAGACCTGAGGAGCACACTGCTCTTGTGTCCATTTTACAGTGGTCATTTGGAGTCTTCCTTCCATGGTGTCTTATGTTCCTGAACCCTGGCCTATGGTCTTAGCAGGAGGGGAGGCCTCGGGTTCTTGGTCAACATGTCCATGCTGGCAGCATCATGTCCATGCTTGGTCATCATGTCTGTATGCCCATCTGTTTTTCTGCAAGGTTTCTGAGCATAACACCCTCAATCACTTGAGAAAAAATATTTGGTGGCTCCCTGGGCCCTTCGGGGCACACTGGGCACTCCGCGAGGTGTCCCTGGCCTCTCTGCCTAGGCACCCTATGAAGCCATCTCTGCTCTTCTGGGTCCTGGAAACTTAAGGCATTCTCGGAGGCTTGCCCACTCCCAAGGCAGTCAGAGAGCAGGTGGGTGGACATGGTCCTCTCCATTGTAGGTGCCCAAATTTTCTTGCAATGCCCTAACTCTCTGTGGTGCTGAGGGAAGCAAAGGCCCCTTCACAGAGACATCCTCCAGCGTCTACTTGTCTTGCTTCTTCTCTGTCTCTCCTTCCTTTATCCCCTTTTCCCCACCACTTAGAGACTGTTTCTAGTCTGGGTGAACAGGAACTTGTATTCATAGGTTTGTGGTTTGTAGTATAATCTTCACTTTCTGGATCCAGAAACCAAGTTTTGGAACTGAAAATCTAAGATGTTGAAACTTGATAACTTCCTTTCTAAAAAGACCACCTTTACATTAGGTTTTCCGAGACTCAAAAACTGATCATTGTCACCTTTTTTATGTCATTATTTTCTTGTTGTTAAAAAAAAAAAATCACCTCTGAAATAGTGGATTTTTAAGAGATGTTTCTGGTTACAGTTAGGATGGAAGGGTGATGGGGGAAGGAAGTGGCAGGGATTAAAAACTCAGGCAACTTCAAAATTCTGTTTTTAATTTTTTATTATTTTCATGGAATAGGCAAGAATGTATTAGCTGAATCTGATAGAACCAATTAATAGAAAAATGTCTTTTAAGTACACACCCATTTAAGAACAGGGTTTTACAGAGGTATAAATGAGGGAATTTTTATAGAGAAATATCTGATGAAAAAATGCTATCATTTAACTTTTTACAATTTTCAATCAGATTCTGTTTTTCCAGCTATATATATGATTTGTGCTTTTACAGTGTGGCTGTATGTGTATGTGTGTATGTGCATATATATGTACATGAGTACATAAGAATATTTGGCAATATATGCACATAAGTATTTATTTGTGGTTTTTTAATTGTACTTTAGATGAAGGTTTACAGAACAAATAGTTTTTCATTAAACAGTACACATATTGTTTTATGACAATGCTTAACAACCCCACGACATGTCAACACTGTCCCTTCTCAACCTTGAGTTCCCTATTACCAGGTTTCCTGTCCCCTCCTGCCTTCTAGTCCTTGTCCCTGGGCAGTTGTGCCCCATTAGTCTCATTTTGTTTTATGGGGCTGTCTAATCTTTGGCTGAACGGTGAACCTCGGGAATGACTTCATTACTGAGCTAAAAGGGTGTCTGGGGTTCATACTCTCAGGGTTTCTCCAGTCTCTGTCAGGCCAGTAAGTCTGGTCTTTTTTTGTGAGTTAGAATTTTGTTCTACATTTTTCTCCAGCTCTTTCTGGGACCCTCCGTTGTGATCCCGGTCAGAGCAGTCAGTGGTGGTAGCCGGGCACCATCTAGTTGTACTGGACTCAGTCTGACGGAGGCCATGGTAGTTGTGGTCCATTAGTCCTTTGGACTAATCTTTTCCTTGTATCTTGTTTTCTTCATTCTCCCTTGCTGCCAAAGGGGTGAGACGAGTGGAGTATCTTAGATGGCTGCTCACAGGCTTTTAAGACCCCAGAGTATAAGCATTTATTTCTACGTGTGAATAAAACCTTTCACATTTATTACCTAATTTATTCTTGATAACACTCTATGAAAGAAGCAAGACCTACTAACTTCATTTTATGCATATGAAACTGAAGGCTCAGAGTGGCAAAGTGATTTACCCAAAGTCACAGAGCATGAAAGTGCTGGAACCATGATTTAAGATGAAGACTTTGGGGAAACATTCACTTCTGTATGGTGTATTGGCTTCATCTTTAAAAACTTTGTTCCTAGGTAAAATGAGCTGAATAAATACAGAATACTCAACAGAGTGTTAAGATTATTTTCCCAGTTGCTAGCCAGAATAAAGAACTCTCCACATTATGGATCAGGATGTTTTTCCAAAGTGAATTGAGATCTGTTCACTAGAGGCATGAAAACTTTAACATTTTTTAAATTAAATGGTCACATGTGTGCTTTTGCATTTTGAGTGGCGGAATGAATCATTTAGCCAGGGTGTCCACAATTCCTAGGCCAAAGAGAAGGGTCTTCTTGTGACTTAAGGACCTCATTTGCTTTCATGAAACGTGCTGCCGCCATTGGTGAATAGGTCAGTTCTTCGGATGATCAGTGAGTGTCACGTAAACTGCTAGTTAAGGATCCTGAGAATTCCAGGAGGTAAGGGTCTACCAGTCCTGGAGAAATTTCTTGATAACTACTCGGTGGTTTTTATGGGGTACAGCAGAAAATTCTCTAGATACTTTTTCAGAGTTACTCCCTTTCTAGAGCACAATATTGACAATTCTTTTTAGTATTACAACGACGCCATCTAAACAGTTAAGCAGAAAGTAAGTGTTCAAGCTGAAAACAGACCGTGGTTCTCTAATACCCAGGCTTCTTTCTGAGCTACCGAACTCATTTGATTGTGTTACAACATGTGTTAGCTTTTAAACATTGCAGTGATATGATTAAAAGTTGCCTATTAAATAGCCAAGATTTCTCAACTAATCCAAGCAAGCCTATTAGTAGCACAGCTGGTATCCCAGCACCTGAATGAAAGCTAGACACCTTTAAGCCTCAATCAGAGCCCTGGGTTTCCTTCCCTTACCTGCTAACCCCACCGTCCCCCGAAACCTGAGGAAAACAATAACACCATATAGAAACCTATAGCTTATTCTTGAGATTGATCATATTCAGACTAATGCATTTTCTACTGTCTAATGTTTCAGTAATGGCCCCAAAGGGAAGGAGCAGTCATTATAACAAGGAGTCTAGCACAAACGGAGTATGGCATTCTCTGCCCTAATGTAGCAGTTGGTTCATTTGTCGGAATAAGAACAGAACTGTTTGCAGAAAGTACAACTCAGCAATGCATTTTTAAAGCTGGGTGCCTTCAAAGGGCACTCGTCTAATAGCTTTATTTATAGTTATAACTTTTATATAGATTATTCATGTTGTTTATGATCATGCCACCGTGTCCTTGAACTTTAAGAGGTTTTAATGGATTTTAAAAGTACTTCTGCTTAAATTGTGTGCAAAAAAACTCTAAGGATGTGTATGAACTTAATTTGCATTTGGAAATTTTGGTTGGTGTTTTTATTTACAAACTGTGGGTTTTCCTTTCAGGAGAGCACATACATAGACGAGGAGGAGGATGAAGAGGATAAGGTGAGTTTACTCAAGAAGGAACATAAAACGAACATTCATTAGTGCTGCTACCAGATAGTATTCTTCTGGGTTAAGTCTTTGCTGTGTTTTTTGTCCTTGTTGTTGTTAGCATAGAGTAACCAACATAGTGATAAGGGTGTAATTTCAAAAAAGATATCCTCCCACTTATATGAACTATCTGGAGTAGACAAATATGTAGAGATCAAAGTAGATTAGCAGTTACCAAGGGCTGGTGAGAATGAAAAATAGGAATTTATTACTTAATGAGTACTGAGTTTCTGTTTAGGGTGATGAAAAAATTTTAGAAATAAATAGTGATGATGGTTGCAAAACATCGTGAGTATAATTAATGTCACTGAATTGTATACTTAAAAATGGTTAAAATGGCAAATTTATGTTGTATATATTTTTAACACAATAATTTTTTTAAAAAAAGACATCCCTTTAGGCAACTAGGGTGGTCAACATGGCAGAATAGTTAGACGCTTCCTATATTCCTCTTACAACAAAGACCTTGAAAAACAAGTGATTTGATTCTATGTGAACATCTGGCAGCCCTGAACAAGGCAAGGTTAAGAAATCCATCTGAGTCATACCAAAGAGGAAGACCATTTGGAAGAGGTGAGGAGTGCTAGAGCTGCGGCGGCGACACAGCAGAGACACAGCCATGCCGGGCCGCAGTGAAGCAGGCAAACAGCTGTGCTGTGCGCGCACTTGAGAAGCAGTTTCCACATCGAGAGAGACCCGGCAGAAGAGATTCTGCTTGGACACTCCAAACAAGTGAAGAGCAGCTCCCAAGAGCCTAGATAAGTACATGCGCACACCATTTCGCAGCGAGTTAAAAAAAAAAAAAAAGCCCCTTTGGGAAAAACCTCTTTCCCTTTTACCTCCTACCTCTGCACTCTGCACTGGATTTGGGAAAAACCTTTCTCCCTTTTACCTTCTACCTCCGTGCTCTCCACCAGATTCGGGAAAAACCTCTCTTCCTTTTACTGCTTCCCTCCCTGCTCTGCACTGGGAGTCCGCTGGGCTGGAAATAGATCCCAAAAGGTGCCCTGACCCATTCTCCTGGCCTTGGGGAGGGAACAAATAAGCTGCTGGCTCCCCTAGGCTAGGAACAAAGGGTCAGCACAACTCCTTTGCTGGCCATAGAAATCAGGGGTCTGCAGACTCTGAGTGCCATACACCCCTGTATAGACTTGTGGGGACCCATCTCAACAGCATTAGCCCTCACTACCACTGTACAACAGGGCAGACATCTGAAGTTTAACTTCAACTGCTTCAGCTGTGAACGGGCAGATTTGTGATCCTCGAAACAACCCTACCCCTCAAGTAGGCACTTTTATCAATCTGCAGCAGGGTCTTGAGGACTGGTGATAGTTCCTAAAGTGCCTAGTCACCTGCTTCAGGAGTTCAAGAGAAAGTGATGCCCTTGAATCTTTGCAGCCAACATAGTGGGGCACTCTTAGCCTGGCTGCAAAACTCACCTACCTATTCACCCTAGAGAATAGGGACATGCTTTTCTTTCAGACTCTCAGGGGCAGCCGTCAGCCCCTGCCTGGCTCAGCATGTGATCCTGTACCACAGCCGGAGTCCAGTGCCTGTACCAATCACCCATGCCTCTCTAGGACTGGGGGTGAGAGCCTGCATCACACATTTTGAGATCGACTGCCTGCACACATGAGCTGATCCCATATAGGAAATTTCAATGAACTCTGGCACGCACATACTTAGTTACAGAACAAACTACCTGCTGACAGGACGTTAGAGATCAAAAGGTGTCAAAAATCAAACAAGTGCACACAAGCAGCCTATTTGGGCATATCAAAACAAAACAAAGTAAGAAGCTAGGTCTCACTAAGCAAACACAAAATGAAATTATAATAAATTATTGATGGCTCAGAGACAACAGTCAATATCAAGTCACATAAAGAGGCAGTCCATGATGGCTTCAGCAAGATCCCAAAATAAAGAATCAATAAATTCTCTGGAGGAAGAGAACTTCTTGGAATTACCAGAGACAGAATACAAAAGAAGAATATGCAGAACTCATCTAGGAATAAGAAAGGAGATTCAACAGAGCGCAGAAATAGCCAGGCAACATACAGACACAGTAGTTGCAGAACTTAAAAAAGTTATGCAAGAACACAATGCCAAATTTAATAGGCTGCAAGAATACACAGAGAGACAGCAATCAGAAATCCAGAAGATTAACAATAAAATTTCAGAATTAGACAACTCAATAGAAAGTCATAAGAGCAGAATTGAGGCAGTAGAAGTTAGAATTAGTGACATTGAAGATAAAGCTCTTGATGGAAACTTATTTGAGGAAAAATCAGATAAAAGAATTAAAAAGAATGAGGAAACTCTAAGAGTCATGTGGGACTCTATCAAGAGAAATAACCTACGAGTCATTGGAGTACCAGAACGGGGGCGTAACAGAAAATACAGAGAAAATTGTTGAAGATTTGTTGATAGAAAACTTCCCTGATATCATGAAAGATGAGAAGATATCTATCCAAGATGCTCATC